GGAAGGGCAGAGCCTCCCCAGTCCTTTGACTAAACACAGAACAACAGCATTTGGTGTTTACATTGCTTAATTTCACTCTTGTCTTAGGCCAGAATTTCCTCACTTCCTTTTGGAATGATAATGCATACTCTGTACCATTCTATGTTGGAAGTACGTAATTTGCTTTTGGATTTTTATAGATGGCTATAATTAAAAGATCGCCTTGTGTCTCAGAAGAAATTTGAACTTCTGACTTGTAAACAGTGTTGAGAGTGAGAGACACTACGGAGACTTTTGGAATTGGACTAAATGAAATTGCACTATGATACGGGCACAAGCCTACAGGTCTAGAAGTGAGGTGTGATAGTTTGTCCAGAGGCTCAGATATCTGAATACTTGGTCCTCAGATGGCAACTTGGGTTTGCTAAGGAGGTTTGGCCTTGCTGGAGAAAGTATGTCACTGGAAGTGTGCTTTGAGGCTTCAAAAGCCACAGGCCAGCATTCCCTTTTTGTTCTCTTTGCTTCCTGCTTATAGTTAAAGATGTGAGCTCTCAGCTTGCTGTTCTAGTAGCCATGCCTGCAGTCTCTCTCTATCATCATGGATGCTAACATTCTGGAATTGTAAGACCAAATAAACTATTTATTCTATAAGTTTCCTTCATCATGATGTTTTATTACAGCAATAGAAAAGAAACTATTATAGGCATGCACCATGGAATATGGAAACATTTAACTGATGGGCTCAAACCACTAATATTCTGTTATATTCAAATATGTTATGGGATCTCTATAGAATTGCTTTCTGCATATTGAATTCAGAAGGAAAATTTAGGGAACTCATGATCATTTCTATTTGACTGCACTATAAAAATGTAGTTTATAAAATCCTACAAGTTATTAGTTGACAAACTATAGGAATGTCCTCTTCTATAACCTGGAAGTATCACATGTCCTCTAATACATAAATCCCAAAGACAAATCCCAAAATTAGAAATCGAAGAGGATAGGGGAAGAAGCAAATGCTGAGGATTTGTATTCAAATAAGTCTTTAAAGATTAATACATTTAATCATCCCTCAGTATTGTTGGGGATTGGTTCTAGATCGCCCACTGACACAAGAGTTCACAAATGCTCAAGTCCCTTGTATAAGTTTTTACCACAGATATACTTTAAATTATCTCCGTATTGCATACAATACCCAATAGGAAGTGAATGCTGTGGCAAATAGTTGTGTTACTGTACATGGAATAATGATTTTTTTCTTTCAAGTTCTGAATTTGTTCAGTACAGTTTTCAGTCAAGTAGTTAAGATGCTTCATTTTTTAATCAGACAAGTAGTCAAAACTAAAGTACAGCTATCAGGATGGAGGTTGGATCAAGCAGAGGAGTTACAAACAAAAGTCTACTTCTAGTTTCTGGTCATGATCTATCATTTTTCTTTCTCTTGCCCACCACAGGGTCAACCAGGGGTCATCTTCTTCCTGGAATAGGCCGAGACTTTCTTAGTAGCCATCCTCACCCTCAGTTTAGTCTGTTAGAACTGGATACATTAGGTGGATCTAGTGGTAAGCCTGTAAAGTCGAGAAGCTCTCTATGGAAAAGTAATGATACCCTGCATGCAGACTGTAGGGAAAAGGGACCAGTCAAAGAAACACACCCTGAGCAGAGCCAAAGAAACACACTTTGGTCCTGCAACCACAACCAAAGAAATGTACCCTGACCCTAAAACCAGTGCCAAAGGAACACACTTTGTCCCTGGAATCAGAGTCAGTGAAAGAAATGTACCCTGGCCCTAAAATTGGAGCCAAAAGGCTAAAAAGGATCAGAGAAAGAAACACACTTTGGCCCTGAAACCAGAGCCAAATCTGACCCTAATCCTGTGTAAAAAAGTAACCAATCCCGGAGCAGAGCTCTAGCCAATCTGAGCTCAGCACTGAAATCGGACCAATCCCTACTCTGGAAAAACTTCCCCAATCCCTATATAAACCCTGTGTATGTTCAGCTTGGCTGGTCCAGCTGCCTTCCAATAAACCCCTTTGGATGAGCTTCGGGTGAAGATCTTCTTTTGTGGCAGCGACAGAGCAGAGGCGACCCTGGGCAGAGCAGAGCAAGCAGAGGCGACCCTGGGCAGAGCAGAGCGAGCAGCGCTGTAACACTTGCCCGGGAAACCTTCCTTGGCAGAGCAGAGTTGTTACACTCTGCTCCCAGCTCCCTGCTCTCCACTCTCCGCTCTCCAGGAGCAGAGCTGAACTGTAGCAACTTTGCCTGAGAAACCTCCTGGGGAGCAAAACTGCTACACTAGGCGAACATCCCCAGCTGGAAGACCCTGTCCTGCCGGAGCGGAGCTGACACACCGGAGAAGCCTTTCTCTGAGGCAAGGCTGTAAGCTGCCAAGCTTACTGCAACCTGTGGTGGTCCTTGGCTCCCGAGCTCCAGGATACCTTTCTACCTGAGCTGTGTAACACTCAGTATCCTTGGCTCCCGAGCTCCAGGATACCTTTCCACCTGAGCTGTGTAACACTGGGTATTCTGTGACTCCCGAGTGCCAGAATACCATACCTGACCCACTAACTCCTGTTCCATCCTGTCCTGACCCATCCCGACAAAACGCTTACACAGACAGTTTTTTTTTCATCTTCAATATTTTCTAGCAGTTATTGGTTGAATCTGGCTGCATCATCCTTGGAAATGGAAGGTCAAATGTGTAGTGATACAAAGAATCTGTATGAGTTGTTGAGAAAAAGAGCAAAAAGAGATGAGATAATGAAATGAGGTAGCAAGACTGAGGCACTATGAAGGTGTCGGCAACCTCCTGATGCATCCCTTTGTGGATATGTACTACCCAAGGAGTCAGCCAAACTGATTGATCATCTTTCTAAAGGCCCAGTGATCTAAAGGAGTAGGTGAGTATGTCACTCAGAATTGACTCACCAAGATCTTGATGGGTGCCGTTCTACGATACAAGAGAAATGTCAAGATCACACACAAAAGCAATTATGAAAGAGCTTTGACCTTCATGGGGATTAATGATAGAATGTGCTGTGGATGGGTGGAGTGAATGAGGACCTACCTTCCAGGCTAGGGTAAGTTATTCTGGTGTGTTCTTTCCCTAGTGCTCCGACAACTGCCTTTTTTCTTCAGTTCTTACTTACCCTGTGGGTTTTCACCCCTAATGCTCTATATGAATGCTACTTCTACATTGTACTCGGGGATTGAGGAATGTTTAATATCAAAACATTAATCAAGCACAAATACATCTTTTATAATTTGCTTTTGTGAGTGGCTTCAAATTTTAGTTAATGGGTCTTTAAAAAAAAATAAAAAAGTAATACTGCAGCTGTTGTTTGGTGGCAATCAAGCTTCCTTCCTGGAGCCAAGCTGTTGGCAGACTCAAAACGGCATGTGGCGTGCTGTTGGGACCACATTCAATGGGTGGAAAAGGCTGGGATAGCATTGCTGAACTTAAATCTCACAAACCATGTCTATGAGTTTGTCAAACTTTGAATGTATGGCAAAAAGACTATTGGGTCTTTTGATGAAGATTTGCCTACTGAGGTAATCTTTGGACAAGATTCAAATTACTCAGAAGAAAAATAAGTACATGAACAGCCAAATAAGTACATAAAGAGTTCTCCTCCAAATTCATCAATTACAGAACAATGAACCCCTTAGAATGAGTTATTTCCCAGGGGCAAGCCATGCCTTTTTCATTTTTATTTCCTGAATCCAGGCAAAGTGCCTGGTGTATGGTAGGCGTTCTATAAACACTCATTGAACTGAGCTGAACTGCACTGCTTCGAGTCCCTGCACTGGTCCCTTTCATCAGGTCAACAGCCGCACTTAACCTTGGCTGCCATGATTACACAAAAAGAGTGTCTCCAATCTCCCCAACCTGTCCACTCCCCTAATGCAATTCAATTGCACATTCACCTTCTCAGCTCATGCCAGCTGACGTTTACACTTGCAGAGCTTATTGATGTAAACAGCACCAACCATAAACAATAAATTCCAAGAGGGGAAGAACTATGGCCTTTTGTTTTGCAGTCATGCAGTAAATATTGTTTTTGTTGGCTCTTAGTAAATATTTGTTAAAATCCTGAACCAGGAACCCGTAATTTCCATGGTTTCCTCTCGTGCTAATAATACTCAGAAAAGGCTTTAAATAATGTGAAATAAATTATTCTTCGCATACTCACATAATGGTGGGAACTGAAAAAGCAACGTTTTGTAAGGCAAACTATCCAGCCAGGAAGAATTCTGATAAGGAAACAACACACACACACACACACACACACACACACACACACACACACACACATATGCTGGAAAACACACTGGAAATATTTGTGGGAAAGTGTACTCATTTGTAGGCATTTCAAATGTTTTATTTAAAAATAACAAACAACCCCTTAAGTTTAACTTGAAGGAGTTGTTTTGTTTTTTTTGTTTTTCTACATAAGGTTAAAACCTCTCAATATCGTCAGCTTCATTAATCTTGACCTAATCAGTCATACGTAAGCAGTTTCTCCATGGAGTTGCTTTCTGTTGAGCAAGAATGAGAGATGACAGAACCCTGTTCTAATCAGAGCTACAGTACTGAAGAATATGGGATGTGGTAAATAATGAGGCTCTTTTTCTGGTCACAGAGAAAGAGCAGAAACTGAAACTGGTCACATTTAATCTAATACAGGAACATTTATAGTAACCCAGAATACAGTATCCAGTTATTCCAGTCAACAACTTAATAAGCAAAATTCCAGGAGAATGATTAAGGCGAAAAGGAACATCCAAGAAGGCTATTGCTTTCATTCATTTGGCCATGTTTATGAAGTAACCACCTTGTTAAGCAGCAGACAGAGCACAAAAACAATAGGAAGAGAGCCAGGCACAGTCCCTACTAACAGCAACATGCAATTAGGGATCCCCAGGATAGCTCTGCACCCCTCCCCTCCTGCCCTTCTCCTTCCTCTCTGCCTCTAAGGTCAATACTAGCCTTGGGCAAGGCAACAGGGGCTTCTCACCTTGCCTCAAAGGGAATCACTTCTCTTCATAACCAGGATCCATGGGACCATGCTTTCTGCCAAGTTAGGTGTCAAAATAGTCCTGAAAGAACAAATTAATAATCCATTGATACAAGGGAGATCTGGAATGGTGGCTTGAGCTACAACACTGATAACTTGGACACAGCACCAATAGCTTTGGCTACAACACTGATAGCTTGAGCAATACCACCAATGGCTTGGACATCATTTAATCCGATTTAATCCAGCAACCCCAAAGCAAAACTGCAGACACAAACAACAAATGGACAGGAAGCAGCCATGTACAGAGGCTGATGCCTGGAAAGACAGCACTATGAGGCTGAGGAAGGAGGGCCACTACAAGTCTGAGGCATCAAAAGGAACTCTATGTCAACCTGAGCTACAGAGTAAGACACTGTTTAATAAAAAAAAAAAAACAAGTCGGGCATTGATGGTGCATGTCTTTAATCCCAGCACTCTCGAGGCAGAGGCCGGTGGATCTCTGTGAGTTAGAAGCCAGCCTGGTCTACAGAGCAAGTTCCAGGACAGGTTCCAAAGCAATACAGACAAACCCTGCCTCAAAAAAAAACCTAAATAAATAAATAAAAACAAAAATAATGCTCACCAAGAAGATCCCATATTCATCTTAAAGCACATAATATATCCATCAAATTCCATTGGCTCTTAGAAAATCATAAACGTCAATTTGTGACTTTGGAAAAACTACTTAATCAACCTGTATAAAAAATTAACAGTCATACAGAGATTCTGCAGTGATTAAATGAGATAGTTTATGAAAAGTGCTTAGCACGGTATCTACAGATAGTAAGAACTCGACCAATATATATATTTTACATCACCAATATTGTTGCGTTACTTCTGATATTATATTCCCTCCTGTGTGCTTTTTGTTGAGAAAAATAAAGGTCCTAATTAGGGTGAAGAATTTTTTGGGGGGTTTTTTACGAGACAGGGTTTCTCTGTATTGTTTTGGAGGCTGTTGGTACAGCCCGGCCTCGAACTCACAGAGATTCGCCTGCCTCTGCCTCCAGAGTGCTGGGATCAAAAGCGTGTGCCACCACCGCCCGGCAAGGGTGAAGAATTTTGATGCAAGAAGAGACCAAGAACTTGTACTGGCACTACAAATATTTGTTGAACTTCTGCAGAGTGCAGAGGTTGGCTACCTCCTGATTCAAATAGGTGAGCTTCTGAGAGTTTTCAATGGAGAATGTAGAACCATAAAAGAATAGGCAAAATTCTTATGAACTGCACAAAACTAGGATCCAAGTCTTGAGGTAACAAAATTTAAACATCTGGAGGGGTTCAAACACTGAAATGGACTTCAGGGTCATAGTCACATAATAACTTTATCAGTCCGACAGTACAAATCTAGAGAACATTGTTTAACAAGCCTGGGGTATTCTCAACCCTAAAGACTATGGAAAATTTTCCAGTCATAGATAAGCATAAATGACACCAGAAATGATTTTTTTTTTGGCGTTGGTTCATCATCATGAAACCCATAGCATACAGAAAGGAGCCCTTATCCTTGCTGCCCTTATCCAACATGAACTGGAGGTTGGTTCAGAGAGAAAAATCTAGCAGTAGACCAAGGATAAAATGCCATTTTGGTGGGACATAGTGAAGCTAACTTGTAAATGGGCTGAGTATTGCATTGGCAAAAAGACATTAAGTGCCTCAGTCTGAGAGCTTGGATCCCAGGTTGTCCATCACTGCTCATAAAGGGACTGTCGTCAGCAGTGGAGGTTCAGCAGAGTGGTTTGAAGGTCCCCAAGTCATCTGCATATCATTTCCTGAACGCTTTGGCCAGTTATCTATGCAGTTTCCATAGGCAGTGGCTCTGTGTGACTGTCAGAGTCATCCTGCTGGAAATGGGAGCAACTGAGAAAATTGTGCCAGTGTCTTTTGAGTCTATTTATTTATTCATTCATTTGTTTATTTATTCTACATAAAGCTAGAGGTGTGGTAGCCAGACGTGGTGGATCACACCTTTAATTCCAGCACCTGAGAGGCAGAGGCAGGTGGATATTTTGTGTTGATGCTCAGCTTAATCTACATTAAAAGTTCCACCCCAGTTAGGGCTGCATAGTTAAACCCTGTCTCAAATAACAAACAGAAAAAACCTAGAGATGTTGTGGAGGGGTGGCCTGTGGTCTGTTCAGAATTCTTAAGGCCAGTTTCAATCCAATATTCAGTGTGGTATACTTCTACAGATGCTGGAAGAATATTTAACCCTGCTGAGCCCACCATAGTTGATATATTACCATCAGCAACAACAGTGACATCAGTATCTTCTTGCATCAGTTCCTGAATCCCTGATTGCCACAGAACATCATAAAAAGGGTCAGGCAGCATCCACACACACACAGGAAGCATTATGGGAGAGGTAATTCTAGCATAGGGGATATGAGTCTTTTATGGTGTGTAGCGGACATTCCCCTCAGTTGCTCCATAGGCAGACCTCATCTCTATCTTCCAAAGCTGTCTGCTGTACATGCATTCTTGCCTTGCTTTTTGTTTGTTTGTTTGTTTGTTTTGTGTTTTATTTTGTTTGAGACAGGGTTACCCTATCTGGCCTGCATCTCACTCTGTAGACCAGGGTGGTCTCAAACTCACAGAGATCCACCTGCCTCTGCCTCCCAAGTGCTGGGATAAAAAACATGTGCCACCACATTCAGCTGCACACACAGTGTATTCTTGAAATGACAGAATGCACTAAAGTCACTTCCTCTGTTTCCAAGACATGTAGAAAGGCCAGAGAGTCATGAAGAACCTCCTGCCAGCATAACTCCACATGAGGAGTGCTCTCACAACAGCATTACATGCTTGGCATCATGTTGCTAGATAGCTTAAATGTGTGGATCCCACAGCTACTTAACACAAGAGTTCATCTATTCTGAACAAACCACTAATGCACAGTTTTGGGAACTGTTCCTACATGCCTCAAACTACTCACTGGTGTTCCTTCCTCTTTTATGAGATCCACATCAGCTTCAGAAACCTTCACTTTCTCTATTTATTGTAACATGTGGGGATTCACACTGTAAAAGGCTTCTGCGATCCAGAAACCCTCTTTCACTAGCACCAAAATAGTACTCCAAACTATGTTCCATACTTGTTATTGACTTAAAATAGTCACTCTCTTGCTCTACCAGACCTGTCCATCCTGTGACCCATGAGCTGTATGTATCACAGGACAGCAATGAATGAGACCCAACACAATTGTAGATGACAGCCTCGTTTCACAATTTGCACAACTATAGTGAAATAAGAGTACGTAGCAATAATTATATAGGCAGCCTATATAATACTGAATAGTACAAAACATGAGAGTCTGGCTTTAATGCAGTCTAGCTGTTGCCTTGGGTGGATCATTTCTCTTTCCTCTACCTCATTTTCCTCCTTGTGGAATGCAGATAACAATATTCATTCCCCCTCACACCATTATTGAGTCAAACAATGCAACATCTGCAAAGTGTTTCACAGTCAAGCAAAGATCTTTAAGTCCTTTTGTAGAATCATTAGTGTGAGCTGAAGCCTGCGTGTGTCTTCAGGGATGCCGTGAGAGCAAGCACTGGTAGGTTTCATCTTTTCTTAGCCTCAGAAACTGGGTGATCCTACTGAACTGTGCAGAGTCGAAATAATAAGTTAGCAGTCCAGGAGAAACCTCTTCATCACCAGGGACCTAAGGAAGCTTGTGGGGCTAAAGGGGTAGAGGGCAGGAATGCAAAGTTATTTCTGGACTGTGACTAACTTCTGGATACGTGCCATAGCTGAGCTTTTATGACATAAGCAGTCAGTTTTAGTTAACCTGGAGTTGAAAGTTGAATGAATAGGAAAGATAGAAAATATACAGTCAATTTTTCATTATCCTTCTTATCTTTGTGTCCTATTTTTGTGGGGGTGACAAAAAAGCAATTTATGGGAGAAAGGGTTTATCTTACCTCATGATTCCAGGCTACAGTCCATAATGGGGAAGTAAATTTGGCAGGGTCCTAAAATAACTAATCACATCACATCCACAGTCAAAAGAAGAGAAAAATGACTAGATGTGAGCTTGCTCCTTAGCACACTCTCTCTGCTCTTCTATAGGCCCAGAGAACAGAACTACCTGTGGCGGGGGAATATATCTTCCTGATTAAATCAGATAATCTAGATAATCCTCCCACACACAGACATGTCCATTGGTGATGATAATCTTGCTCTCTTCCCAAGTAATTCTAAACTGTTACAGGTTGATGGTTAAAACTAACCATCCCATCTTCATAAGTAGGTTGCCATATTTCTAACTTTCCCTTAAGACCCCATGAGGCTGCCTCCGTAGTATATTCCTCCCCCCACGCCCAACCATCAGGGTGGGCCTACAAGCAATGTATAAAAACACCATGAAAAATGATTTAAGATCATTAAAAGGAGATGTGGCAGCTGGTAAAGGATGCTTCAAATTACAAGCACAGTGGATTTTGGTTTTTTTTTTTTAGTTACAATGTTTAGGGCTTCTTATCGGCTAGCTCTTTCTTAAGTATTAACCCATGACTACATATACATATATGTTTCTACAAGGTTTTATCTTACCAAGAACATCAGACTCATGTGTCCTCTTCTCCTGGGATCACATGTCAACTCCATGTTACGTTTCCCAGAATCCTCCTTTTCTCCTAGTCCTGCCTGTTTTGCTTTCCTATTGGCCAAAAGTGTTTTATTCATCAACCAATAAGGGAGACATAGTTAAAGAATGACATCTCCCATCATTTCCTCTTTTCTGTCTAAATAAAAAGAAAAGTTAACTTTAACATGGTCAAATTATATATAACAAAACAGTTATCAAGTAAGGACAATGGTTACAATATGGAGTCGATTAACATTTAGCAAGATTTAAAGAAAATATTCTATCATCTATCCTATCTTTGTGAGTCTAAAGTCTTATATGTAACTTATCTTTAATCCTAACTAAGGAAAACTATAATCATACTATCCATCTTCAACTCCATCAAAGACCACAGAAGAATAGTATATAAACTCTAGAATTGACATAGACATCTTGCTACCTGGATAGTCACCCGAAGTTCTTCTGAAATGTTGGGAAACCATCTTTGGCCCATAGGCCACAGTGTATCCAGCGGACTTATCAGCAAAGCAGGAAATTTTAAACTGTCCACCTACATTTTACACAGTGGAATTTTAAAATCTGATTTCTGCCTAATTTTCCAGCATTAGAAACCCCACGGACTTTTAATATAGTCCACACACAGACATCTCCATTGGGTGGGATTGCAGGTGCTAGCCAATCACAATGGACAGGAAAAGAAAAGAAAGCGGGAGAAAGTGTAGTGAGCAGGGATCTGCGACTGAGACAAACAGTTGTGAAATGAGAACTAGGATAAGAGCAGAAAGAACTAAAACATGGAAGTATTGGTGTCTCAGAAGTCTGTATCA